TAAGGAAGACAGGCTGTGCCAAACGGGTCTCCAAGGGACGTTGTTTCTTTCTCCCCCTCCTTTCCCAAAATACAGTTCCATTTGTAGTGGCTTTCTTTGCTTATCTAAGTCCTCCGGTGGGGATGGGAAGGGTTAGGAATGCATTTGCAGGAGATAACATGCTATTGCCCTTGTGGATGTGTGGGTTCATGTGGTATTGAGTGCCACCCACAGGCAAGCTTAAATTTGGCTGCTGTACTATGCCCTACAGATAGGGTTCCCAGCATTAATCCCTATGGAGTCAGAACAGCAACTTCTGTTGAAATCGTCAGTGATGGCTTTCTCTTATTAAGCTCAGCATTTCAAAGGAATTAAGATTGAGGAAAGCAAATTTGGGAAGAAATTATTAATCGATCTTGAATTCTGCTGTTTGGTTTTGGTCCCGTCTCCCCCACAGTTTAGCTATTTCTTGGCGTTTGCCTATGCAGTAAGGAGTCAGATAAAAACTGAGTAAAAGTTAGATGAGTTGAAGTCAAGCTGTGATGTCCAGCCAGACAGATACCAACACCCTCAAATACTGAAAGCAGAGGGCTTCAGATATGCTCTTTAAGTCAAGCGCAGCTTCCCAAAACTTGTGCTGCTGTGGAGAGCAGGAAGATGTATTTCCATACATGGCATACTTAAATATATTCATCTTTAACTCAAACAGATCCTTTTGGGTTAGCCACTGTTGATACGTAACTTGGAATAAGGGAGTAAACAATATTCTTCTATTATGTGCACTTACAGTGGTGCCTCGCAAGACGAAATTAATCCGTTCCGCGAGTCTCTTTGTCTTGCGGTTTTTTCGTCTTGTGAAGCACGACTATTAGCGGCTTAGCGGCTATTAACGGCTTAGCGGCTTTAAGAAAAAGGAAACGAACTCGCAAGACATTTCGTCTTGCAAAGCAAGCCCATAGGGAAATTCGTCTTGCGGAACGACTCAAAAAACGGAAAACCCTTTCATCTAGCGAGTTTTTCGTCTTGCGAGGCATTCGTCTTGCCACTGTATTTGTGGCATATGAAATGTGTAACCTTGGTAAAAAAAATAACATTATTCTCTCTCTCATGCAACTGATTCAGAATTCAAATTACGAAAGTATACAACAGACGGCAAGAAGTATCGCCGAGCAAGCTCATGAACTGGCGTATGACCCAAATTACATGTCTCCCTTTGCACAGTTTGCTTGTGACAATGGATTGAATGTAAGAGGTAAGTTTTACCATTTTCTTGTGGGAAGCTTAACAATGACTCTGCAGGCTAGCGTTTGTTCCAAATTCCGAACTGGCAAGAAGACTTTGTGCTAGAATGAGAGACTGGCTAGTAATTGGGGTGGTGTTTTACATAGAGTGAGATGACCTGTTCCCAGGTTTGCTGCTGACTTGCTGTATAATTTCGGTTTCCATCATGCAAGCCACTTTGCATACTTAACAAACCTGATTATTTTTCATAACTACTGCATATAAGACAGCTATACTGGAATCCGGGGGGGGGGAGGGGGAGGGTTTTTAAATTTTCCGGCACAATTCAGTGAAGTATGTCGAAGGCAAGCGCAAACATTTCTATTTAGAGCATCAGCTCTTAGATTTACCCTGGATAGCAACAGGGCACCTGTTGGAACTCGTGGCTCTTAACTTATGGTACTGAGTGTATCTGGAATATGGAAGGTGGTGACTCTCCTTCGTTGGAGGTTTTAAAGCAGAGGTTAGATTGCCATCTGTCGTGGATGCTTTAGTTGAGATTCCTGCATTGCAGGGGGTTCGACTAGATGAACCTCTGATTCTATGTCTGCCAAGACATATGTGTTGGGTTTGCTGGAAAGTGCTTGCCCTCTGCTTCGTGACCTGCTTTTAATGGCAGTTTCTTTGAAACCTGGAAGCAAGCTTATATTACTCTGATTCCTAAACAGGGTCAGGATAGATCCAACGTTAAAAACTACAGACCACTCTCCCTACTCAATGTGGATTATAAAATTTTTGCAAATATATTGGCCAACAGGTTAAAGAAGGTTTTATCTGAGTATATTCATAAAGACCAGGCAGGATTTCTGCCTGGAAGACATATGAAAGACAACATTAGAAATGTTGTGGACATTTTGGAAAAGTTAGAAGCAAGGAAGAGCTGTAAATCAATGTTAATGTTTATTGATGCAGAGAAAGCCTTTTGTTACATAATTTAGAGAGCATGGGGATAGGTCAGGATTTTTTAAATGGTATCAAAGCGATCTATCTAGAACAAAAAGCTAAAATTATTGTAAATAATGTGGTTTTAGAGGAAATTAGAATTGAGAAGGGAACCAGGCAAGGGTGCCCACTTTCCCCAGTTTCTTGACCAATTTCTTCCAGTGAAAATATGTAAATGTCTTGCTTTGCAGGTGGAAAACCAGATGACATCACCGTCCTCCTTTCAATAGTAGCTGAATATACAGACTGACTGGCTGACAGCATAAACTTTTGACAACTGACTTGAGTGTTTCTTGCCGTTCCCTACTTCACACGGACTGTTTCCTGCTGGCAGGATGCCTTTCTCTGCAGCTGATCTCAGTGGCTCTTACATGTTACGTCCATTGCCTGTTTTAAAACGCAGTCGAGGTCTCTGTCATGAACCACTACTGGAGTACACTGGGGTGCATCTGCCAGCAAGAAATGAAGAATTTCAATACTTGAAGCTTGTCTTTTCAAACTTTAGTAGTAATTACTTCATAGTGGGGAGGGTGTGTGTGATTATGGTTATGAATCATGATTATGGCTCTGAAAGAAATAAGTAGAATTGGCTATTCATAATTCAGAACTAGATGTGCAGTTTGACACTGATAGAAAACCTCCATGAGGACAAACAAAATTGTTTTGTTAGATAAAAAAGCCCATTTTTAATTTGAGAGGTCACAAATCATTCTGTAACTAGCATAGTTTGTTAAAACGATAGTTGAGATTTGTGTCGATATGAATTCTCTGGAGGCTTCCAAGTGCAGTGAGCCTCAAGATATATATGGTTTAGCGCAGGAGTTTTGTCTGTTACTAATTTGAAACACAAGATTAGTTCATGAAAAGTATTGTGTGTCTATGAGAGAGAGTGTGTGTGTGTATATATGTGTGAAGGTGCCTGTTGTCATGCAGATGGAAATTTGGCATATCATTTATTTGCAAGGAGCCCTGTGCTGGCTGGATCTTTCTTTTAGAGAAAAAGGTTTTCTAAAGATATTTCAGTTGCACTAAAGTTTGAAGAAGCCAGGGTGTTGAGAGTTTGGAATGGCATGCTGCCTGAGCACGAATCATCTGATCTTGCTTTGTATGCCATAGGTAGCTAGGAATGATAGAGGCATTAAAGTGGACAGTCTTCTCTTTTGGGTTTGAGGAATTTGATGGTGTTTCAATGTATGTACTTCTGCTTGTGCTCCCACAGCAATTGAAGTTGCACACATGCAAAACGCTGAATGAGCAACATTTACATTTTAGTAGCTTGGTGTACAGGATTTCCAGAATGACCTTTAATGATGTTTACAGGTATCTAATAGCCATTTTGCAATATAGCATTTCCTTTCATTTACATCCACTCAATCTAGTTTATTCTTCAGTAGCTGCAATCTCCTCCCTCCTTTTTTAAGCTCATGTAAAAACCAATCGCTATAAAGATATATATTGGTCATTTTTTCATAACTTTTTTGCTAGTAGAAAAGTACTTAGAAATGAAAAGCCATGTTTTATATAGCAGTTGGGTAATGTGGATGTTTAGATTCTGAGCTTGGCCAGTAAAGCAACCTTTTTAAGATGAAAGGGTTTTTTTACTGCCAGGTTTGTTGTGTTAAAACTGTAAGATTGAGGTTACCTCAGCCTGTTTTAAATATTTTTTGTGGTTGTACTGTATACTTGCATAATTACGTCAAGCTTTTATTTATAATTATGTGACATGTACCATGTACATGTCACTATTTCAATGCATCCTACTTTTAACAGGCATTTCATTTACCATGAGAATGGGCAGAATCATTTGGAAGCTGTTTAAATTACTTTTTGTGAAATTGGCATCTTGATTTTTCTTAAAACATTCTTCTTTTTTTCTCAAAATGCCTTAACCACTTAACTTAACAAAATGATTTCCCCCCCAAGCATGGATACAGGGTGGAATAAAATGAAATAAAGAAAATCATAGTGCTATAATTCAGAAATGTGGCAAATAACTTTGCACAAATCATTTCAATCCCTTATGCTACTTTAGCTGAACAAGTTATAACTATCAATATTCAACTAGAAGGAATGTATTAATGCTGCAGTTCCAGACTTCTTTCCTGCTTTGCTAGAGGAGCAGTTATCCTTTCATTTGGACTTCCTTTGCATTTTTAATCACCAGTGTTTGCTATTGTTTATTAGAACAAGCCCTGATTAGTGATTGACTGGCCTCACCCACTTGCCCTTCCTTTTGGCCTTGGCCCTGACTTGGTGCCTCCATAGAGCAGGACAGTTTCCCTGCTTCATATTTCCTCTTCCTGCCTTTCTGCAACTACAAAGGATGACCCATCAATTAAAACAAATGTGGAAAAGAAGGTGCTTCTTATGCCCATATGGTCATGGCCTGGAGCCTTTTGCCGCTGTTCTTGGATCTTGTTCTGAGTAGCAGAACTGTAACATCTGTTGGGATTGCTGGCCTTGCTTTGCTTAGAACAGTTTTTAGTCAAGCGGTATGTATAAAGCCATTTGTCTCTTCCAGTGTTTTTTATGACGATCAAATTGAGTTTTTAAACTTTCAGATACTAAGTTCCCCCTTCCCCTCTCCAGACGCCAAAGACCAGTACAGTTTATAGCTTTTTGCCATCTGTTTTTAGAGCAATACTGTATTATAAAGAATTAATATTTCTATTACATGCTTGTCTTTTTTCCATTTTAAGATGTGCACTCAAACATATCTGAACCTAATTTCTTCCTATGAACTTAAGCTGTTTGCGCACAAATATCTTTTACAAAAGAAAAAGGCAGGACTCATGTACTTGTGAAAATAACATTTACCAATCCTCAAAGCAGTAGTGTTTCCTAACAACTTGTTTAGTGTTTTGGTTTGGCACAGAGAAGACATTCCATTTTGTGTTTTCTTAAATCTGAAATGCACGGGTGGATCCTGGGGAGATCTTACCTGCAGAATTGCTTTATAAAGAATCTGAAAGAAATAACTTGGCATAGCATCAACCTGCTTCACCCAGTAATGCAGTTGCAGCTGCAGGGCTTGCTATACGGGAATGCCTGTAATTGTGTTACTGAGTTTGTTGATATGAAGGGCTAGGCTAATGTGAAATACCCATATTAATGAAGGAAACGTTAAGTCCATGGCTTTCCCTCAATTTGCTATTTCCACAACAAGTGGGGAAAACCTTGAAAATTGGGACCAGATTGGATATTGACAAAACTGTCCATAGTAAAAGCAAGCAAAGATGAAGACACTGTGAATGGAATTACTCTTTGTAATGGATTGCTTTTCCATGGGAAGCCAGGCTAAATGTAGACACTGACTTTTTCTTTTATTTGACAAAGCTGATATAATGAGGATGCCTTCTTGTTAAATGAGACTATCATTACCTGTGCTTACCTAAAAGGCAATTATGTGAATTGGATGTTTGAAGTATATAATTTGTGCAAGAATAGTATCTGTAAATACATTTTAATGAACTGTAAAGATATTTAATAAATAAAGTATTTATACAATATGCATGTGCCCAGGGCCTTTTAACTCACCATCCCCACTACTGACTCAGCTCCCTGCCCCCACCTCATTCTAGGGGAACTTTATTCAGTCTTCAGGTCATCTGAACAAGGTTAATAGTATTTTATGTTGTCCCATAATACCATGATCTGTATTGTTTAATAGCATATGACTTCAGTTTTATTGCTTAAGGGGAAGAATTTATTTCATACTGCCCAAGTAGGAAATAGGTGCAAAACAATAACACCTGAATTTTCTATTATTGCATGCAGTGTATAGACTTCAAACAACTGTCCCTCAAATCCTGCATCAATATGGGCTGTCCTTTCAAATGCAGAAGTCAAAACAGAAAATATTGACAATCCATAAGGAATTCCTCTTGCATAAGTTCAACCACAATAAAATGGAATTTCATTGTAACACATTTGTGTCCTTGTACAAGTTCTGCTCATTTTGGGGCTTGTGAAGGACAAGTTGCAGATGGTTATGCAGCTGGTGATTTCTTAAGGTGACATGCAAAGGGAGACACTGGGCAATAAGCACTGATAGAAAAACCTTACATAATGGGGAATTTGATTTAAGAAGGCAAAGAACCAAATATTTTTACTGCAAAAACAGTTTGAGGGTTTGGGGCATGTAGTAAACAAATATGCTAGAGAAATGACCTGAATTTGCTACTTGAACTAGTTGGACTGTTTTTCAGTACAGTGAAATTTCAACAGCAGTTCAGTTCCCATTGTCCTTCACTGTGGGAGTTGAAAGAAAGTGAATCTTAAAGAAAAGCAGACTATGGAGCCGTGTGACTAGTTGCTCTTTGTTAGGTTGCTGTGGGTAACTGCCTGTTACCAGGGCTGAAACGGCCAAATGCATTCTGACTTCACTGCTCTGAAAGGAGTATCGCTGTGACACAACACATGCTTATAAAATGAGGGAGGCTTCTAAGGCATTTAAATTTACTGGCATAATATACTATGCACACTTCAACACTACTGAGATGTTTTTCTAATAGACTTGAGCTAAAACCAGTTTATTGCTGGTTATCTTGCACAATTTCGTTTAGAAGGAGCAGTAGAATGAAACTGGGTGTATGCCATTTTTGCAACCAGTCATTTGTCTTAAGTTCTCCTGTGTCATAATGCAATCAAACATCAACATTAATGCAATATGTGTGTGTACATATTGGCTTAACTGAGAAGTAAATCTCATAAAATTACAGTTGTGATAACTTGAAGTTCATCCAAAAGCTTCTAGTTTTTTCAAAATACAGGCAATGACCATTTTAAGTGTGTTCAATGCATGCATGACCATGCAAACATACATTTGTCATAACCCAGAAGTGGTTGGAAAGGGCGAATGGGGGTGGAGCGGGCTTACATGCACTCCACCGACACGTGTGGGGGTCAGGAACATAACCCCCGTGCAAAACTGCCATTGCCTGCATTATGAAACTGTAGACTACAACAGAGTACACAAAAAACACCTAAAATGAGCAGAAGCTCAGCTTGCCTGAACGCTGAATGTACACACATTCCTTGCTGACCATCGGAGTTGGCAGATTGATACTTTGTCACTACTAAAAAGTTGGGGAGAGTTGTTCATTGCTAAAATCTTCTGTGTCGCTTGCTGTTGCCAAAGTGTGGAAAACACGAGTTATATCTTGTTCCTTGGATGAAACTGCCCCAAAGAATAGGGAATGGAACTAGAAAAGGCAATAAAGGAAGTTAACTGCATTGCATCAGCCAAAACCCTTGCAATATGGCACATATATATTAGGGCCAAACGAGATGTGATGGCAGCAGAGCTAGGTATTAAAACTATTTGCAGCTGAATCTCTAAAGTGGGAAGAGTGGCATGTCTTTAATGTACAGCAGGAGCTGGCAACAAGTTAAACTCTTAATATGCCTGAAATTCTTTCTATATAACTTACTCATTCCATCCAGCTGTATGAGAGGGAGAGACTTCTGTGAACTGTGAACTGTTTCCATTCAAATTGGAATTATGTAACATAAAAAACTAGTGTCTGCATTTGCTCATTTTTCTCTTCCATCCACATCCCTTTTCCCCTTTATGTTGGTGGGCCTGAGCAGAATGAATTGTCTTTTCATCAGTCTTATGTAAGCCCCTCTAGGAATAATGGGGTTAAAATGCTTTAAATTATAGACTTCTTTCCTCCCATTTTTTTTTTCTGGTGAGATTCCACAACTGGAAATAATATCCACTGGAATAAATAAGGGTGGGGTTTTTTGGGGGGAGAGGGAGGGCAAGAAGGTTCAGCTCTTCTACTGAGCCTCAGTTTATCAGCCTGCGCTCTAGAGATGTGGCATGTCCCATATTTGGTTGTTCTTCTGTCATGTTCGTTTTAGCATTAATGTATACAAATTTTGACCAAGATCCAAAAAGCTACAAGAAGTTCCATGTGTCTGGGCATCCTTTTACTCTTCCTTTGCTAGACAGCCCCTCATACCGCATGCTATGCTGCCTTTAAAAACAGATGTGACGTATGTATATGGTTGGGGTCTGTTTGAAGGAACAGTTGACTCCCACTGTGTCCATGAAATATCTAAAAGTACCCTTTTCAATCTCAGCCTTTTCTCTGCTACCAAAATGGCTGGGTGTAGGAAGAGTCTGCTGAATTCCAAGTAGGTCTAAGTTATTTTTCCTCAATGTAAACAAAAAATTTAAGCAGCTTAACTGCTTATGGAATAGGTAATCTTCCATTATAAACTACAGTTGCTCTTGGGAGGGACAAAATACTGTTTCAGGCAGTAATCAATGGGCCCTCTACTATTCAGCTGTTGATCCTACATGTCCTGCGTATTTTGAAAAGTGGTTTGTGCATCTGTCTCTCTTCTATAGGCTTGGCACCCGTTGAGATACCATTGGCAAACTCTGCACCAGGGTTCCAGAACTGGGGGCAGCTGTCTTCCATCAATGCTGGAAGCCACTTGATTCATGATGGTGGACCAAAATGTCACTTTAGGGTGACTTACCCCATTTTGGGGCATAGGTCTGGTCACTTCTCAAAATATAATTGCCAAATTCAGCATGACTGTTTCCCAGGTGGGGGCAGCAGTCTTTGTTGGCATTTAAATGCTGGACACCATTTTTGAATCAAGATGATGGACCAAAACATGACCTCACCTGATTTTTGGAGTGAAAGCACAAATTACACTATTCATTTTAAAAATCACAGTATTTTGGGGGTTCTAAAATTCCCAGGCAGCAGCAGGCACTGCCTGCTAGTAATGGAATAAATTTCCATAGGGTGGAACACTTCTGAATGGAGCACTACAAACATATCAAATTACCAATTCAATCCCAACAGAAATGTTGTTTTCTTTTTTGGGAGTGTCAAGCTGACTTCACTTTTACAAACCATTTCTATATGTCTTCAGCTTTTACCTTATAATCCAAATCAGTTGGCACTGCTTCTTCCTCCGTAATGGTGAAGCCATTTGCTGTAGCTGTGGCTGTTTCTGTCTTGCTAGTGTTTCTGCTGGAGATTATGGGGTCTTTATTGCTCCTCTTTAGTGCAGGGTTCCTAAAATGACACAGAATTGAAAGAGTTATGTGCCTTTCCATTCCAGCAAAACTCTTACTGCACAGCTACTCTCTGCAGCATTTGTGACCAGGACCTTTGTCAAGGTGGATCTCATACTATTCTTGTCAGGCCTCTTCCACTGCTGCCTATTTTTTGCAGCAGTGGAGGATACCCTTAATGTGATGATATGTACCCTTCTCTGGGGCAGGAGGCTGGTATGATTTGATAGATGTTCCCTCACTTTCAAGGGAGGGGATAGATTATTTACAATCCAGCGCCTTTTTGTCTTAAGGAAGCAGGTACTCACTCGTGAGCATGTGTAGATAACAAGCCACAATGTGGTCACAGGTATGGTTCCTGATCTCAAATAGGAGTGAAAAGCACCAATGGCAGTGAAGAGGCTGGGAACTTTGGAAAATAAGCAGCTTCTGGCATAGAGCTAATGATACTCTGTTTGCAAAGCTAGGTGTCTGTGGTAACTTTTTGCCCACTTTCCTACATGTGTCACAATCAGTCCTGGTTAATTTGCTTTAGAGCAGCTTACCACAGGGACAGCAAAGATAATTAGAAATAGAATTGAAATAAAGTTTTTGAGCATGGCTATGCCTACCAACTTTTCCCACTCCAATCTAAGATCTATGGCAGGGGTGGAAAAGCTGTGGCCCTTCAGGAGTTGCTGAACTACAGCTTCCAACATCACTGATTATTAGCCATGAAGGCTGGGGGGAATTGGAAGTCCAGCAACATCTGCAGGGCCATGGGTTCCAGGCTCCCGCTCTATGGGGTGTTGCCAAAGCTTGTAAGTCAGGTTCTCTTGTACACCCACTGAAAAGTTACAATTACTAAATTATCAGGTGATAATGCTAACCTCCTTTGAAAGAGGACACAGAAACAACCCATTTGAGGACAGCACTGAGTGACATGGAAACAGTTTTTTGGGAGTTTGGGCTGTGGCTCAATGACAGAAGACATACAGAAGTTCCTAAATTCAGTCCATGGACTCTATGGGTAGGGCTGGGAAACATCACAGTCTGAGCTTGGAAAAATACAGAGCCAGATGAACAAGTGGGCTGACTCGCTAGAAGGCAGCTTCCTATGTTCTTAAATACATATATGTTATGTACATTAGCTAGGAACACATAAATGCATAAGAATGGGTGCCCAAGTACTCCCCCCCCCCTTAGACTTAATTCTATCATGAAGGATTTCAAGTCTCCCCACCCTCAGGATTTGGGATTCTGTTTGGCATATGAACAAAACCTGAGAAATGTACAACAGCCTACAAATGTTGCTTTGACAACCGACAAGGGCAATTAGTGTATTATTTCAACTTGTATGTTGCTTCATATAAATATGTCCAAAGCAGCTTACAACACAACAAATATGCAAATCATCACATCATTACAGTAACCTGCAACGACTAGGTCATATCAATACAAAATATGACAACCCAGATAATTCACTTTGATAGTTTATTTTACAATGATTTGAAATGTTATATTAGCATTAAAATGTATCAGTTAATATCAATCAAACATATGCATTCCAATACAACCACATACTGCAGTAACAATAATAAAACTAGCATCCACTGCATGGCAGTACTATACCAACTGGTGTAAAACTTGTGACTAACAACATAAATTAACAGACAAAAAACTATTTCCTCTAAAATAATTCTGTCCTTCAAACTTGAAATGGTTCCATAATTTCCCCTAACTAGCACCCAGTTTCCATGGCTCAGCAAATCTTAACTGTGAGCAAATGCAAAAGCACAAGCTGTATCTTCTCCTGAATTTAAAGAGACCTCACCTGGCTTCATCTGAAGGCCAAATTACTCATGACTTTCCATGCATCACAACCAGCAGAATTTATTTTAAAGAATATGCTTTGCATCAGTTGGAGGAGCTGATAATCCATGCAATTAGAGAAGGTGCAGGGGAGAGTTCAACCCTTTCTACCTAGGCTGAGGAAAATCCCTCAACTATAGCTAGTAATTGCTGGGGACGACGACACACCATTGGTGCCCAAGGGGAATTCCCCTCCCACCACAATGCAACTGCCAGCTTTAGAACTGGGATTTTCCTCAGGACCACAGCAGAGGAGGAATTCCTCCTCCACACCTACTCTGATTCTGTGGGTTATCGGTCCCTCCAATTGATGGAAATGATATTTATTTTTATTTATTTATTTAAGCCCTCTGCCAAAGATTAATGTAACATCAACTGTAGTTTGGTCTTGAAGTCTAGCATTTTGCAAGCATTAAGTTATTTAAAAATCAATTACCTTTTCTGGCACTGCAAAAGCAAAGGCGATTCATGAGACGGTGTCCTGCCTTCAGTATCTGCTAAGGTAGCCAAAACAAAACTGGCTTCTATGAGCATATCCTCAATGCTGAAAACAACTGGCCTATATATGTAAGAATAAGGTTGAGCTGAGAGCTACAGGCACATATAAGAATAGGTTGCGTATCCATACATCTATACAGAAAAGTGAGGTGGCTACTGATACTGTCCTCTGCTCTTAAAAAAGAGTTACTAAAATATTATTTGGCTTTGTCTTGTAGCATTACAGAACACAGTTAATATCCCCCCCCCCAAAAAAAAAACACCCAATGAGCTTAAGCACTCTTAGCTGTGTGTTAGATTCTGGGACATGTTTATGTTGTCATATGATGAGCACAATTTATATTCCATAACTTCGATATAAATTTGGTTGTGCATTTATGTGTGAAATGCATGTTCACTGCTAGTTTAACAAGTTTAAGCAATCTTAATTACTGTACAAGAGTAGCGATTACGGAAGTTCAAAGGAAAGCTGATACTAAAATGCTATATACCAAAGTACCCATAAACCTACTTTCCAGAAACATCAAGATGAATAGAGACTGGAGCAGTGATGGCTTCTGCAAAAGTCAGAAGTCCCTAAATGCAAGTGAAATATGTCAATTAGTTCAAATATGACACACTATGGAGCATCAGATTATTGTTTTACATTTGTGTTACAATGTAACTAGCTATTTTTTTATTACTTGACCATGGGCAACTTGGAGGCTTCCAGCTGACCAATGATAGCAATAGGATGTTAGATTACAAGGATGCTTGGTCTGATCCAGAAGGACTGTTATGCCTACTGAGCTTAGAGATGCCAGTGTTTGACAGTCATTTCCCCATTATTTCACCACCCCCAATGCCCTTCAGCAAACCACCTAAACACGACTTTGAAGCAGGTGCCCATGGAAAAGCATAACTGTGTAATATTGAGATACATCAAGGAAATATAATTAGCAATATTACCCTTAGCTCTTTAAGGCAAAATGTGACTTCAGTGTCTACTCCAACCTGAAAGTATTCAAATTCTTCTGGATTGATATGTATCTCAGTGTGCATTGCCTTTGCAAAATCTGTTCAAAATCATGACAATGGCAGAAATTAAAAACAATGGAGCCCCAACCATAACAAATGTATCCAAGCCTTTGAAAATTGAACACTGGTCATTTATAGTGCATATTCGTTCTGATCCAATGTAAGAGAGACATCCATATACTGAGTGACCTCCTCCTCCTCCTGTTCCCTACCTCCATGGCAGAGCCATGTGATGTGACTTTTAAGACCTAGGCTGGCTCAGCAGGCTTTGCCCCATGACTGAACCAATAACAGTGACTAAATAAAGACACTGAAGGAAAAAATGTTAAAGAAACAGAAAATGGGAGCCTCCTATGAGAAGACCTGGCACAGATGGGTGATCGTAACAGAAGTCATTATGTGACCATTTTTACACAGCAAAGCAACCTAAAGGAAGGTTGGAGCTGGATGCCTCCCTCATCCTGGACCAGATGCAACAGTTGCAGAAAGTGACTAATCTTCCATTCTGTGTCCAGTGAGAGGGAAGCATCCATTTATGGGACTTAACCAATCCTACCTCCTCTTGCAAGAGGGCTGAAGGCAGCTGTTAGTTAAGGGCAGCACCGTTTTTTCTAGGAAAAAAGGTGCCAGAACTGACCCCTCAGTGCTCTTCCCTCCCTCGCATGCTCCACTGCATGCCCTGCAAGCCCTTCTGCAGTGAGCTGTTGCTGTGCTCACATTTTTATTGTCTTCAAGCAGGTGGCACTGATTGTAGCAATGATTTCCAGAGTAGCCACCCTGTTCACCTGTGCCACCACATGTTTTTGGTGGCAGAGGCTGTGAACCATGGGAGAAACAGCCACCACAAACAAGCCTCTGCCCACAAAAAGCATCCAATTGAAGACAGACTGAGGAAACTAACGGAGGGTGAGGAGGAGGGTTACCTTTTTCTCCCTTGAAAAGTACATAGAAAGTCTCTTCCTCCTTCCTCCTAGAGCTCTTTCTCATTACCTCTTTCAGATATTTTCAAAGCTCAAATTAATTCTGCTTCCAGTATTTACCCAAATTCTTTGGAAAAGCAAAGTGTGTACACCGGTGCACTTTCTTTCTGTGGGGGTGGGGAGTGGGGATTGAGAAATAGCCAGACAGAGGGGATAGCAACCATGGCATTTGCTCCAAATGTGCCTACGGATCTAAAAAGGTTGACAAACCCCAGATAGATAATACATTTATGCCTGCCAGGCAGATATTTCAAAATGGACTCCTTTTTTAGTATACACGAGCAGAAATAATAGGTTATAACTTAGCTGAAACAGCCTAATGTGAGGAATGTTGATATATTATCAATTTCTGACATTAATTGACTTCTAGTACTTACTTATTGCTTATTTATTGTTTATAAATAAACAGGAACACAGAATGCAATCACAACTTACTGGGGGTTTTTAAAAGTTACCCTTTCTTCTGTTATTCTGGCATGTTATAAAATTCTGATGGTTACATTAAAAAATACCAACATATTTCTTTGCCATGACTGCTAAATAATAGTTTTAGGTCATATAATGTACAATACACTTTTCCTGATAAAACATTATTGTAGTCTGAACGTTCTTAATTATCACTTTATTGACTTATTTATTAACCATACAATGAAAGTTCAATTCTTACCCATTTCCTCATCAGTGTAAGTCTTGAAACAAACTTTTACTGGAGTTACAGCTACAGTTACTTCATTTTGACAGGTTGGAAAATGAATCAGTATATCAGACAGCTGCCTGAGAAGTTTAAAAGGGTAATAGTGTTTCATATTACAAACAGCTCTCTATGCTTTTCTTGAGTAATAAAAATTGGCAGCTCAGTCTCACTTAATCCATAGCATATTGCTATTCCCTTTATCTAACTTTGGCTAATTTATTTCCTTGTTCAATCTGTTCTCTTGAGATTGGGGAATCACAATAGTGCTTATAGATATAGTGCTTGTCTATATCTATATTTTAAAGATTGTGAAACTCCCTTTCACAGGAGGCTAGGCTGGCCCTGTCAGTTTTCCTTTAGCCTGCAGGCAAACACAAGCCTTTGACCACTAACTGACTGTTATGTACTGAAGTTCTCACCCTGGGCCAGCAGGGGGATACTGTAGATAGTTATGCAAATAAGTTGTTGAAAGTGACATTCAGTGATTGGATAGTTTTAGAAAGTTGCTACCGTAACGTTGTGCTGGAGCTCTATATAAGCAGGCTGACTGAACCCTTCAGTTCAGTTCTGTCCTGGCCTGTGAATAAACAAGAGCTGTTTGAAGAATCGTTGTGTCGTCTGATATGTTCACCCACAACTTAACACTGACTATTATGGAATAGTCTTCTGTGGTTTGGTATTGTACTTTTTGTGTATGGGTGCTTTTAAATAGTTTTAAGTGCTTTCAGTACTTTTTTTAAAAGAGGGTTACTCAGTGCTTTTTTTCTAGAAGTGCCACACTTAACAACAACAAAAAAAGGTGCCAAAACTGCATACCCTTGAGTACCCCCTGAAAAAAGCACTGGGGTTACTTATGCATTAGTTTAAAAAAATTTAAAAATTCCTTCCAGTAGCACCTTAGAGACCAACTAAGTTTGTTATTGGTATGAGCTTCCGTGTGCATGCACACTGTCTGTCTGCTTGCTCATTCTCTATGAACACGAGTCAGCTCTTGAGATATCATCACCTAATGTGGCATGAGGGTTTCTGAGGTGGAGGTGGCACTCTCTGTCAATGTTTGGATGCTAGCTGCCATTTTGAATCAAGGTAGCAGACGAAAATGTGACTTGGATTGACTTTGTCTGAATTTTGGTGTAACTGGTCCAAACTCACAAACTGCACCATCCATTTTCGAAATCACAACATCATTTAGCTTTTAAAAATACTTGGGCAGCACCAGGCACTCATCACTAGTAATATATTTTAAAATTAGGTGTGCTGGTAGTATGTTAACTCTATTACCTTGATTGAATCTTCATTGCATTGGGGCACAAATGCTTTGCAAACACAGCTTGCAAAGGTTCACATTCTTGAAAAGCTAAGTTATGAGTTTTCACAACACCTGAGGAGAGAGGATAAGGATGGAAATGAGCAAGCCTGCATATTAGCATTGTAAATCTCCAACAGTTTGACTTCACCCCTGAAGGAGCACTCTTCCACTGGATGCCAACCAATAGTGCCCTCTGGTGGGCACTGAGAGCTCAACATCTTTTTAATAAAAAGTACCGTATGTGTAAGGTTCTCTTTGGAGTTAAGAAACAGTATTAGTTTAACTAGGCCATTTTGTTACATAGTGTATCTCTAACAACAATTATTAATGCAATAATGGAAGTACACCATTTTTTTCTACAGTGTGGAAAAGATAAGAAAATGGGGCAAGATCTATCAATGTATAAGACGCCCCCCCCCCCAATTCTGGACATTATTTTTAAGGGGAAAAACCTAGTCTAATACCGGAAAAATACGTTATTTCCAGGGGAACAGCCATTTTAGTCTATTGCAGTAAAACGTTTTACAGCTAAAATGTTTTAAGGCTGCTAATGAATTTATTTTGGCATGAGCTTTGATGGACTTGAGTACACATATTTTTATTGCTTACTTTATTATTTGTGCTGGAACCTGAAAACTTATTCTGCGGATATCAGGTGCTGTTTTGGAAAGTTCCAGGTCTAAGAAATGCAAGTCCAAAGTCTGTCAGCAAACAGAACTAAGTTGTGTTATTGTTTGGATCCTGACCTGGATTTATTTATTTTTTAAAAAACTTGCCTTTCAGCCCATAAGACTTAAAACATAATGTGCCAACTACTGACCTACCATGTTTGCAGAAAAGCTGAAAAACAACATGGCAGTCATTAAAGTTTGTATAGATGTTGCATTTCTCTATGTTCCTTTCCACTGTGTTTAAGCACCGAAATATAGGCAGGACAGCCTGAAATTTTTTAAAAAGAAAGAATTAATGCAGAGATCAGAGCAAAACTAGCCCTTAAAAACAATATTATATATGGTAAAAAGTTTGGCATTTAAATAAACAGGATTAAATAAAAATTCATTAGGAAGTACATAAGGAAGACCTAGATGGGTGTGCTAGTTTTGGATAGCACTGTTTGTTATTATTGTGTGCTAACACTGTTGGGGAACAAAATACATTTTTCAAACATTCTAGCAGCTTCAATAGAAACAATTTATTACTGGAAGAAAAACTACATGTAGTTCAAAAACTATTTTTAGTGGAAAGTTGTGTTTTGTCAAATCCCACCAACACACCACAATACAGAAAATAGAACTGTAGTTTTGTGGTATAAAATAGTATAGATTTTCTCATCTTCTGAGACTTACCTTTATTACTAATTTGTATGCAAGGTGTGTGTGGTTTTTATTCAAACCCAATTCAGGCGTATTTCTACAGGAATAGTGATGAAAGAAGATGGATGAAAAAAAGACACAGGCATAGGCTGACTGAGAGGAATTCACCGACCTGAGGGAAAGCTATGAATAGACAAAATCAGCATGAAAGCACAACTTGAAATAACAAACAAACCAAACCTTTATCCTATGGTAGTATTTAGGGCATTAGGTGTTATTGTTATTAAAAACTCTCTTAAGCATCTAAAATTTTCTAGACACTGCAGATACTGAATTTGATGTTAAAGAGGACCCTTTGCATCTGTAGATCTTTGTAGCTATGCGTATATATACAATATGTGTAAGTTTGCACTTAATATTAATTTTAAAAACCATTAAATAATATTTAATTAATATTTATTATCATTATTTGTATATGTCGATAATAAACACCATGCTTTTAACCTTGCTACCCCTTACACCTGGAATTTACTGACGCAACAGATGTGTGATGCTGCTTCTCATACTTCAAATGTCTACTCAAACCCATCTTTTTTCTTTGTACCCTACATAGTAATCCTCCTGGAATTCCTCCTGGCTATTACTATTCCTAGGATGCCTTGGCTCTAAATATTTTTCAAAATATGCTATATTTTTGGGGGAGATATTTTATTATAGTATTCCATTGTACCATATTGTGTTGTATTTTCTCAGTTTAATTTGTTTAAGTTGTTATATATACACATTGTATTTCCTATTTTGTAAACTATTTTGTAAGACTGTCTTGTGGTATATAAATATATTAAATAAGTAAGTTTAATTCCATATTCATTTTTTTCTAAATTTTGAATGTTTACTTACTCCTTTTTCAGTAGGATCAAACCAAAATTCATCACTGATACGTGCTATGGCATGTATGGCCCTTCCAAATACTGTAGAGGAGATTTTAAAAGATGCATTAGTGTTTTCACATTTCAATATGCAATGCAATCTTATATGTGTTGGTTCAGAAGTAGACCCAACTGGGTACCGTAAGTAGACATACTGACTTGCTGGGAATAAGTCACTTTGAGCAAAACAGGACTTACTTCTGAACTGATCATTAGCTATATAAGAAACCCAAAATAAATTAGGGTCACTAAGAGAAAGCACCTGAATCAGGAACAAACAAAAAGGAGAAAAACAGGGTTTTAGACCCAATTGTGTGCTATTATGGAGCAGAATGAGTGAGAAACACTCATTTTCTCATTAGAACTCTTAATGAAAGCATTCAGCCTGTTCATTTTAATTCCCAGCATGTGCATCCTTTATAAGCTTGCCCTCCCATACTCTACAAAGTCAGGAAACTGAAATATTGGCGTCAACAATTGAGGCGATAATTAAAAGGCTGGAATTTTGATTGCAAGTTCAAGAATAGGAGGTAGCTTTTAGCTTGGATCATTTAATTTGGAGCAGAAAGATGTGAGCATCTGCAACCAATATTTAAACAGGCTCCAGGACCTTCCTCTGCAGCCCCATTTTTTTTTATTCAAAATGGAAGTTTAATTACCACTTCACAGCAGGGCATCCATCTCATAATTTGTACTGATTTGTTAGTCCCTGCGACACGACTGAGGTCATTTGTGTCTATTTACTTAATATCTCGCCACTATAATAATAATAATAATAATATCTTTATTGTCATTGCCCCCTCTCGGGGACAACGAAATTACTTGGCTGCTCCATCCACCCAGGTAGGGCACTCCACACAAAATCAAAACACTATAAAAACACTATAAAACACTATAAAACACTATAAAAACACTAATTAAAACAATACAGTACAATACAGCAAGGAAGATTAGATGACTTTCAAAGTCCAGGCTTCCCATTCAGGGCCGAGATCGCTCTGGAGAAGAAGCTGTTCTTAAGACGGCTTGTTCTTGTCTTCATCGTCCTGTATCTCCGTCCCGACGGCAGGAGCTCGAAGAGACAGTGACCAGGATGCGATGGATCTTTTACTATGTCCAGTGCCTTCCTATGGCACCTTGTGGCATAAATCTGCTCTAAGGTGGAGAGTGGGCAGTATAATTACTAGTATAATTACTAGTATAATTACTAGTATAATTTAAAGCTTCAATTGACATGGCTCAAGACCCTCTTACAAATGCTTTAGTGTGATTATCTCTTGGCTCAACCTGATACATAGCAATGTTAAACCATGTATCCAAACTATAGTAACATGGCAAAATATGCATATTATGTATATGTGTTTGTGTGTTGGTTAGTTGTTGGCATCCGGCTGCTTTCGCAGCACCTTTAGCATAACCGAAGCGACCTTCCCAGGGAGGGGAGTCCCTAAATGACCAAGGACTTGAGACAGTAATAATAATAATAATAATAATAATAATAATAAATGTTATTTATATCCCGCCCTCCCCAGCCGAAGCCGGGCTCAGGGCGGCTAACAAAAATCAAATAAAATATGTATATAAAATATGTATTTTAAGACCAATGGCTTGATGTAGATGTTGGCCTCTACCTATGACATATGAATATACGCGCGAGTAAAATTCAGCACCAGCGACAAATGCCACACAATAGGCAATGCAAAAAAAATAGCATATATTGGAAAGAAATGCTGTAGTAAGGGCAAATGACTAGCTGGTTGTATTTCGGTTCCTTCTTTCTACTCAGGGGCTTTATGGCAGGCATACAACTCTGCAAATTTTAAGAAAATAAATATTTAACACCATAACCGATCCAGTATGAGGTGATTTGAAATTAACTTTCTGTAATCAAGAGATGCTCTCTTAAAATTTACAAAACCCAACTACTGCGTAAATGAAAAGTGCCTCAAAGGGTTTCTGGCTTATGCTATTATTCTCTGCCTGCCTTGTGCGGTTTTTAATACGTTGGACTTCAGGAGCGGTATTATTCATAATTGCCTCAGCTGGAAACTCTACACGCATTTTAGGGCGGGGGTGGAAGAACTCGGCTAAACTTTTATTTTATTTTATTTTTCGCATCTAAGCAGCTGAAGGATCCAAAAGCGGAAACGTGGAAGAATAGCGTGGGATTTAATCGACATTGTTTCGTGAGGCACGCGGGAAAGGAGTCTGAGGGACCCAAAATGATTTCTATTGTTAACGTTCGCAATTTCTGTCACCATCCGGGGCGGCGCTACCTCGAACACCCGCAGCCCCGAAGCCGCACTTCATGGCGAGGCGACGACCGCAAAAAAGCGGAGCAAAAACGCCTTTCCCGCCTCGCCTCCCCTCAGCGGCGGCAGCGGCGCCTCACGAGCCGCCCGCAAAAAAAGGCGGGAAAACCACTCTGAGGGAAGACGGAGCCAGAAAAAACGGGGAAGGCGTAGAGGTCACGAGGTGGGCGACAGCCATCTCACTTCCGGTTCTCATTCCGACGACGACGCAGCTGCCCACTCCGCCTCTTACATGGTGCCCTCCGGCCCACCTTCTACTTTCGCATTGGCAGGTGCGCAACCGGGAACCGAAAGTGTCTATCGGTCCTCTTTGCGCAACCTGTCTTCCTTTTGCCTCGCTAGTGCCCGGATGTAGGACCTCCCACCTTCTCTTTCTTTCCCCCCGCCCACCTTCGCCCTTTTTTGATTTGGAAACGAACGGGCCCCGCCTCTTCGGCTCTGACTGGCAGGGGCCTCCGCAAACCGTCATAGGTCTTAGCTCGTGGGGGTTTTTTGCGTGTGCGCTTTTTATTGTCCCGCCTCTGCTTCCGTAGGCCTAACTTCCGGCTTGGCACACCGGAAGCGGCGGAAGGGAGGCAGGAAGGCGGTGCAGGAGCGGCACGGAGAGCCCCCCAAGATGGTGAGTTGCCCTGAGAGGGCGAGGGCGGCGAGAAAGGCCGGCGCAGAGGCCCACCAGGCCCCGCTCCTGGAGCCGCCCGCCCCGTCTCTTCCTCTTCCCTCGGTAACTGGGGGACGGAGCTGTCCGTCTTCGTGGCCTCCTGCCTCGGCCTGGCGTCCCCCGAGGTCTCGCTGTGCTCACGGCTGCCCTCCCCCTTGCCGGCCGGGCTGGTGAGAGGCGGAGCCCGGCAGTGCACGGAGGGCCGCGGGTGAGGGGCAGCTGCTGGGCTGCCAACAGCCGGGCCGGCTGCCCTGTGGGCCCTCCGGACGCTGCTGGGCACCCGGCTCCCAACAGCCGCAGCCAGCGGGGTCGGGGGTGAATTTGGCTCGATGCTATTTAACATCAGAGTATATGTCACTTCGTTAAATGGTTCCTCCCATGTTGAACGCCCAGGATTCCCAGGCTGGCCTCGTGATCGGCATCGGGGTGGTGCCTTCAGACCTTACGTTGGGTTCAGGGGTGGTTTTTTTAGGGGGGGGTCTTAAATAACAAAGCGTCTGTTGGTCCTCAAAAGATGGACAACGTTCTTCCTGTGGCATGATCATTGCCCTGCGACTGTTATGAGGATTGCTGAAGATCCTGAAGAACTAAGGATTAACTTGCCACGCTCAGCCCGGATAACTTCACTCCCAGTCAGAACACTCTCTCTGTCTTTGTCCCTGCAGTTCTTGTTTTGCTTATAGCACCATTAGTGTGGTAGCACTTTTTAGTGGAGCAAAAGTGGGAGGGAGTGAAGGATAGTTCGCTGCCCCCCCCAAAAAAAGTGTTTTCTTTTTAAATTACAAGTCTCATTGTTTTCAGTGGAGCTTACTCTGCTTACGTATGGAGTACGGCTGAATTTTATACAAGAGAAATACATCTGAAACTCAGTGATATATGCAAAATGGTTTGAGAAAATGACAGTGTTGTGATATTATCTCTTCCAAATACATTTTGCAGCCAGTAACCTTCCCTGAAGATTCTTCTGATTTTGTCCTGCTTTAAATTAACAAGTTTTGATTCCCTTTCTACAATACCCACATACAGTGGTACCTTGGGTTACAAACACTTCGGGTTACAGACTCCGCTAACCTGGAAGTAGTACCTCGGGTTAAGAACTGGCAGCGGGAGGCCCCATTAGCTAAAGTGGTACCTCAGGTTAAGAATGGTTTCAGGTTAAGAACAGACCTCTGGGATGAATTAAGTTTGTCACCAGAGGTACCACTGTACATTCATGGTGTTTATGGCAATAACTTTTCTCTCATAATTATGCTTGGCTAACCCCCTTAGATGCATTACGAACTGAGCCATCTTGTGCTGTGTGTCAGTATAACATAAAACTTACTGATGGGGATAGTCAGGAACCAGGGGTGCGGAGGCAGGTTGTGAATAAGTGACAATGCTTGCTGGTACAAGGAATTTTATCCCTGGTAGAAATTGCTTGGTTCCAGACAAGCAGCTTGATTCCCCTCCCCCCCCCCCATTACACTGAAACAGCCATGGAAGCATCTTGTGAAAGTAAACAGAGCTGGACAGCTCCTGTAGTGCTCAGATGCAGGTCTGTGTCTGCAGAGATTGTGGGGGTGGGAATTTCAACTCCTTGAGAGCACTGGCTTTCACTTCAGCCTATCTGGCTGCAATTATATATGCTTGAAAATCTTGGAACAATGCCTGATGAAATCTCTGTGTCCCAAAAGGTTGCCTGAATAAGATTTTCAGTAGTTAGGAAGGGGACTTCAGCTTCCTCCACAACTCTTTCACCCTGCCCATGGTTAGCAAAACCAGAATAAATTATGTAAAAACAGTAAGTTTTGGCTATGATAAGGTGTAATGCGTCAGTAAATAAATTTGGAATCACTCAAGAGAAATCATGTAGTTCTGCATAATTTGTACAGGTTGCAAAATTTGTCATGATGCAGAGTACAGAGTCCTGTTCATAAGAGCTTTTCTGAAGTGGGACCAGAAGCCAGAGCCTCAAAGCATTTGAGGGGAGGGGCTCTCTTTACACTACTGGAGGCTCCGAGCCTCCCTGATGTGCAGCATTGAATGCAGCCCTTTTGTATCACTGATCAAATAGGATCAACCTCAAACCCAACTGGATCTACTATAGCAATATGGCAAGAAAGAGGATTTTGTGACTAAAAACTTGGTTCTTACTCCGCATTGTAAACTAAAACGAAGTGGGTGTGTGAAGAGTCATTCATGAGCTAATGCCAAAAATCCTGTATCTGATTTACACTTACAGATAGGTAGCCGTGTTGGTCTGCCATAGTCAAAACAAAAAAAATTCCTTCCAGTAGCACCTTAAAGACCAACTAAGTTAGTTCTTGGTATGAGCTTTCGTGTGCATGTGTGTGTGTATCTGAAGAAGTGTGCATGCACACGAAAGCTCATACCAAGAACTAACTTAGTTGGTCTTTAAGGTGCTACTGGAAGGAAATTTTTTTGTTCTGATTTACACCGTGACACCCATTTCTCTGTATTTGTTCAATATAAGGGTTAGCTCCTTTTCACATCACCAAACATATAGAGCTCTCCCTTCCACAGAAGTGAATGGGGAAGCCAATATGGGCAGTGGACTCCTGAGTTGCATATTGGAAGTCCTACATCTGCATGGTGAATTATGTTGCATGTAATAAAAGGCCCTAGTGGAGAACCTGTGGCATTCCAGTTATGATTGAACTCCAGCTCCCATCTGTCCTAGCCAGCATGGCCAATGGTCAGGTATGATGGGAGGTGGAATCAAACAAATGCACAGAGGGTCACAGGTTCCATGGTGACTGCAAGAGATTAGGATCTGTTCAGGGAAGATTAAGAAAACCCTTCCATGAATGTTGGAGACGGGGACCTTTTTCAGGCAGAGGATCACATTCTCTCATGGGGAACGCAGTCCAGTGGGGGCACATTGCAAGTGTGGGTGGGGCAAGAGGCAAATGTGGGTAGACTTACCTTTATACAATAGGCTGTTTTCCAGCCATGAAAATGGAGGAGGCTTCTGCACCTGCCCACATCTCTCCATTCTCCACTCTGGCAAACAAGGGGCATCTTCACAAGGAGTGGTGGCATGAGATTTCCCAGCCCTGCTTTATGAAATCAGTTGCATAAATCAATTTTTTTTAAACATTTCCTTTCCTAACATTCAAATTTCGTTGATGATTTGCCTATTAATTTGGCTTGAGATGTTTCCTTTTCTGTTGCATCCTTTTTATTTAACATTGTTCATGTCTCACCCTGTTTTTTTCCATTCCCCGCTCCCCGCCCCCTGTCTGCAATCAACTTCTTCATCCAAATAAGGCTGGGCACAGAGTAAGTTTGTTCATCTTGGCCTGTTGCTAACGTTGGTGGTGGCAGGTGACAACCCACTTAGTGGGTATTAGAATGCATAAATTTATACAGATTCGAGAGCCATGTCTTGCTAGCTGCAGATGATGCTGCAACTACAGTTTTGGGGTGCGATCAAACGCTTGCATCATGGTGCTTCATTGTGATGACTTTGTAAACCACTGTCTCAGTTTAGAGGACCCTATCAGCTGTTTCTAAGTGAGAAGATCGATAATGGCAGACAAGTTCTTCGCTGCTGACTGCAGCAAGAGGGGAGTTTGGGGTGTGCTCTACAACACAGTATGAGGATGAGACCCTGTAGGCTTGGCCAGCACTACATGTGAGTTCTGCGCATACTTTGGCAAAAGTAAGTTGGCATTCTCATTGCCAGGGACCGGGGTTTGGAGCTTGATGCACTGGTGAGCTTAAGCTGATAAGCATTTTGTGGCTGTAGTTAAGTGTCCTCAGCTCCTTTTGCCAACATCAGAGGCAGTTTAATGCTCTGTATTACCACTGCCCGTCTTGCTTATGACACACCCCATTTACCTGCATCTGACTTGTGCAAGGCATTGTGTGGTGTCACTGCACCAAAGCAACAGCCCAGAGCCTGGAAGTGTTACTACAGAATTGTCTGCTTGTGTGCTAGGGAAAAAAATGTATCTGGGGGCGAGATGACTCTGTCATCTTGAGGCGGGGTGCCAACTTGAATAAAATATTGGGGGGGGGCAGGTGAGCCCTGCCCTGAATAATGGATCACAAGACATGGCACACCCAAACCATTTGAATGGCAGTGCCCATCGACTTTGGGAGGGGCCTGGACCCCTCCAATATTTTATTGGGGAGTTGGCGCCTTTGTCTTGAGATAACAATGGAATTACTTGGATGGGTAAAGTCCTCACTTTTCAAGGAGGAAAAACTGTGGTTGCCATGTTTGGGCTTCACGCCAGATTTAACTGCAGTGGATTCAAAATCATTTTAAAACAGTCTTAATATCCAAGTGTCACAGGATTTGGAAGGAATCACAAAGTGCAATAAGGATGGGGTAATCCCACTGAAATTTAATGGGGCTGCCTTCGTTTTAGGGAAACCTTATCACTTCGTAAGTGAAGGAATCATGGACAAGACTGGGAACTCTGAAAGTTTCGTGACATGTTGCTGGAGACTTTAAATGTGTTGTCTTTCCTTTTACTCCTTTGTAAGTTGGTTTTAGTGTTGGGAGACCTTCATATCCCACACCGCTGCAACAGCCTGCCAGCTAAATTCAAGAAGCTGCTGGTTCCTGGAAAAATTCAGCACATTCTCTGCACTGGGAACCTCTGCACAAAGGAGAGCTATGACTACCTCAAGACCTTGGCTGGTGATGTTCATGTCGTCAGAGGGGATTTTGATGAGGTAACTCAATTGCTGGGTGGGGAAAGGCGGTAGATTTCTGTTTGTGTTGTGCTGTTCTTTTTTAGTTTAATTACAGAACTATTGACCTTGCAAGTCTGTTTGATATCACGTGGATTCTCTTGAACGACTTTTTTCCACCTTCGCCGCATCAAGCAGTTGGTCCCTTACCTTTCCCGCCCCGACCTGGCCACAGTGATCCATGCGACGGTCACCTTCAGGCTTGACTACTGTAATTCGCTCTATGCGGGGCTGCCCTTGAAGCTGTCCCAGAAACTCCAGCGGGTGCAGAATGCAGCAGCGAGGCTCCTCACAGGGTCTCTGCCATGGGAGCATATTCACCCAGTGCTTTTCCAGCTGCACTGGCTCCCGGGAGTACAGGGTCAGATTTAAGGGGCTGGTTTGGACCTTTAAAGCCCTTCACGGCCTAGGACCCTCGTACCCACGGGACCGCCTCTCCCGGTGTGCCCCACGGAGAGCCTCAAGGACCATAAATAGCAACACTCTAGTGGTCCCGGGCCCTAAGGAAATTAGATTGGCTTCAACCAGAGCCAGGGCCTTTTCAACTCTGGCTCCGGTCTGGTCGAACGCTCTGCCTCATGAGACCAGGGCCCTGCAGGATCTGATTTCTTTCCACAGGGCCTGTAAGACAGAGTTGTTCCACCTGGCCTTTGGCTTGGAGCCAATTTGATTCCCTCCCTCTCTTTTTTCTTTTCCTTCTCCTCCTGCGATGAGGCAGCATTTTAATATTTTAATGTTTCAATATTTTAGTGTTGTATTTTTAATTTTGTTTTTAAGTTGTAATCATTTAACTTGTTTTTATTATTGCTTGTAAGCCGCTCTGAGCCCGGCCTTGGCTGGGGAGGGCGGGGTATAAATAAAAATTATTATTATTATTATTATTGAATAAATGGGATGCGTGTATTTTGCGTCTGACAATAGTACCCTTTTAGTCCACCAATTAACATGCTGCCATGCTGTTCTTCTTAAGAATACAAAATGGCATTTTTCTTTGGAATTGATAAAACAGGAGAATGGACTCTTGGTGCATATGTGATTTTTGTGCTGTCGCTTTAATCCTAGAACTTGAATTATCCTGAACAGAAAGTTGTAACTGTCGGACAGTTTAAGATTGGACTGATCCATGGCCATCAAGTTATTCCATGGGGCGACATGGCCAGCCTGGCGTTACTTCAAAGGCAGTTTGACGTGGACATCCTAATTTCAGGGCACACACACAAATTTGAAGCATTTGAACATGAAAATAAGTTCTATATCAACCCTGGATCAGCAACAGGAGCCTACAGTGCTTTGGAAAAGTGAGTTGCTATATACCACAATGTGCTTGTCATGCAGTTAGTTGGCTGAGGTGCTCATGGCTGCTTGTTCTTTGCTATCAAGTTGGATTATTGCATAAATTTATTGTAGATTTGGGTACAGGAAACATTCCTCAATATAGTCTTAGGATTTCTTTGCAGTTTGGAATATTATTTTGATATCAAAGCACATAAGGGACTATGTGCAGTTGAACTTTTCCCAAAATTTTGATCACTTTTAAACTCTTAACCAACAAATAAAATAATAAAATACATTTTGTTTGTGTTTCAGTAGGAGTACCAAGTTGGTTCGTATTTTGCTTGATGCAACTTAAGAGGTGTTTGGTGCTAGAGGATAAAGCAGGAGATATTAGAGTTGTCTACTGAATTATATTTCCTGGCCAAGGCTGCAGAAATGTCAGCTGATGTCAAGTGGTTATTTGAGGATGCTAGTGGGATTCCCTCAAGACCATCTTGTACAGAGATCGTAAACCTGTGGGCCCTCCACATGTTCTTGAACTACACCTCACATCATCCCTGACCATTTGGGGTGCTGATGGCCACTGATAGGGGTCCGACAAACAGCTAGAAGACCATGGGGTTACCATCCCCCAGTGAGTTCAGTGGGGCGTTCTCTTAAACAAAGGGGCAGAGGATTGGTAACTTTAGCTTTCAAAGAACTTGCTGAGTTCAGATGCAGTCATTAAAATAACACTTAAATGTTTTTTTTTCCTACAGCAACATCATTCCTTCATTTGTGCTGATGGACATCCAAGCTTCCACTGTTGTTACTTACGTTTATCAGCTGATTGGTGATGACGTAAAAGTAGAAAGGATTGAATACAAGAAAACTTAAAGCAAATTGCTCAACTTGGCTTTTCTCCGTGGGTTTCTCTTTTTGGGGGGGGGACGGGGACGACGACAATATGCACTCAAGAGTCCACAGTGTTTCCAATATTGTTAACTTAGGAAATGAATCCTCTTCCCCTGCTGTAGACAGAAATGTTTTACAGCATTTGACTTACTAAAAGTCTGCCTTGGCTTAACTCTTTTCTTTTGCCTAAAAATTCTTCATGTCTGTAAATACCGTTCAAAGTGCACAGCAAAACTCTGTCTGTTCATATGAACTATTCCCAGTATTGTAATAAACACTTGTTTAACTTTAATTTGATTAAGCAAACATTATTTATGAAATATATCACAAATCAAGAAACAAAACCCCAAAATAAATACAGGTCTTTTGTTTTACTCATTACACTGCTTTAGTGCAGGAATAGCAAATGAGTTTACTATGTCATAGTGTAATACCATGATTCAGTAAGAAACAACTTCTAGAAGATAAAAAAAAGGTGTTGCATGTTTTTCTAGTAGTAATGGCAAGGCTTCTATGCCAGCTCACTGAAATACCTCTGGAGGAGGAAAAAAGTAGCATTTATATCAAGTGTTCAGAATTCTTTGGTTACTGAATCCTAATTTCCAGACTGACAGTATTGTTTACTGTAATGTATTCAAAATATGGCCTAACAAGTTTCAGCCAAAACTACTGGACCTTGTTCAGTTCTAAGCTCCTTTGGGAGGAAGGTTGGGATACAAATTTAATAAATATAGAATCACAGAGTTGGAAGGGAACACTCTGTAATGCAGAAATTGCAGCCAAAAAACCCCTAACAGGTGGCCATCCAGCTTCTGCTAAAAAACCTCCAGTGAAAGAGAGTTCACCTCTGTTCAAGGTGGTCCGTTCCACTCTTGAATGTCTCTGACCCTCAAAAACTTATCCTATTGTTTAGTCAGAATCCCCTTTCTTAAAATACTCTGTTATTTAGGGCTGCTGCATCATCCATCCTGTACAAAAGATGTACGCACAGTGATTAGCAGAAAACATCTCAATATATCTGAACGATGCAAAAAATTAAAAATGCATATTGACCGAAGAGGGACGTGTTTTCCTAAAATCATAATACCTGTAGGGGTCTTTTTTGGTGGGTTGGGGGAAAAGTTACAAGTTGGCATACCAAGGACTGAAATGTGATTTCTGCAAGAGGTATGTTTACAGACAGCAATGCAGTTTGGTGCTCAGGTTGCACAATCCACTTGATATGTACCACATGATAGAATGGGACTTGGTTTTGGTAAATTGCTCTGAAGCTGGAATATTTATTATCCACTCTATTTTTACCCAACAATTCGTATGGAACAAGATGTGTAGTGGGGGAAAGTAGGATTAGCTCCTCCTACCACAAAATGAAACGACCATTTTTACAGGTTTTTGTACCAAGCTTTTAATTCTGTCAGAATGCATCTCTTGTAACTTCAGTAATGGAAAGCATTCTGTGCTTACAACTCTCCACACCTCTCATTTGTGATGTAGTCTAGAATCTGACATCTATTCTGCAAAGCCGTTGAAGAGTTAATCTGGTTAGGTCCACAGGTTATGAGAAAGTCAAATGCGTCTTTGTCTGTTTTGTCCAAAAAGGGTGAAATTGAGATACCTATTTATTTATTATGGTCCCAGTTCCCCATCCCAAATCAATGAGAAAAACATAAATGGCAACCAGCCAGCTGTTGTAGAAGAAACACAATTCACCAGATGTTTGCAGAACTGCAACAAGACCCCCAATAATAATCTCCCTGAGACCATTTTGGGCCAGTGGGTGGCTGAAGGGAGCCCAAAGAAACATCTGGAGGCTGCCCTGGTTTGTTGCAAGGTTGGGGAAACTATTTTGGAACAATTGCAAACATCTGCTCCTTGTGAAAACTTCTTATTTGCATAAGTTGACAATGGAAACATCTTCAGAGAATTATCTTTTTTATCAGTTGGCATTGCAAAAACTAGCTCCAGAGAAATGTGTTTTTTGGATCAGATGGCATGAGATCCATACCCTGCTGCTTTAGAGAACTGTCTCTTTTGGATCAGTCGGTATTGCAACCATCTCTTTCGGAGAGCTGTCTTTTTCTGGATTTGTTGACATCAGAAAGATCTGCCCCTTCAGAGAACTGTATTTGCATCAGTTGGCATCAGAAACATCTGCGCTTTTGTAGAACTGTCTTCTTTGGATCAGTTGATATCAGAAATATTTGGCTCATGGAGCTCAGCCAGAAGACCTGCCTTTCTTTATAGACCTCATCATGGAGGAGCTCCATTTGCTTCTTGAGAAAACTGTCTTCTTTGGATCAGTTGATATCAGAAATATTTGGCTCATGGAGCTCAGCCAGAAGACCTACCTTTCTTTATAGATCTCATAATGGAGGAGCTCCATTTGCTTCTTGAGAAAACTGTCTTTTTTGGATCAGTTGGATCTTCGCAGACATTGCTCCTTCGGAGAGCATCTTTTTGGAGCAGTTGACTTCGCAAACATCTCCTTTGGAGAGCGTCTTTTTTTTTTATTGGTTCACTTTGCAAACACCTGCTCCTTCAGACAAATGCTTTTTAAAAATCAGTTGACACCAGAAACATGCTCCTTCGGCGAACTGTCGTGTTTGCATCTGTTGAGAACAAAAATACCTGCTACTTTGGAGAACTCTATTTTTGAATCATTTGACACTGCCTTTTTTGGATCAGTCTCTTAACTCTTACTGTTAAATACAAAAAGTTTAGAGAGTGAAAGAGACAGTAAAATTGAGATAGCACTCTTGCTACATGCTGAAAAAATAGAAGGCTGGGTGAAAAAGCCATTTTGGGTTTAAGTACGAGTTCTGAATGGATTTCGTGCAAGAACTCAAACAATTAAGTCGGTAATAGGCTGTAGCTAGGGAGACACAGCTAGGGAGATCAAATCCCCAAATGTGCTTTAAAATTTGACTCTGTTTTTTAAGGCCTGGAAAGTGGTTTGTTGTTTAAGTTTCAAGCCCAATTGTTCCAATAGCTCATCTTGCACAGTGGGTACAAGCTGTCTTAAGATGTAGTCAGAATTTGAGACGAAGGAGTAATGGGGATCTTAAACGCAGCATTCTCCATAAAGAACACATTTCTGCAGTTTTGCCTAATATGGAGAGGTTAAGTTTTGGTCAGCTTACACACAAAGGGTTATAAAATTGGCTTGCTATATTTTGCTTGTTTGGGTGGGTGGGTGGGTATATTAACCCCTAGATGTCCAAATACCAGAGTGCTGACAACAGTACACCTTGGGAGCCAACAGTTCAAATCCCTACTCAGCCATATGCAACTCACAGGGTGACCTTGGGCAGTAGCTCACTCTCAGCCTGACTACCTCGCAGGGTTGCTGTGGCGGTTAAACGACGGAGAGGGAACGATAGAATAAACGTAACGAACAACTGTCACTTCCGCTAGCAGTGCCTCTCTCAATATGGCGCCCACGATGGTGTCTCTCGCCCCGCGCCGCCGCAAAGATGGCGGCGCTTCCGCCCTTCCTTCCCCTCCCCATCCATTTCCGCCTCTCCCAAGATGGCGCTTCCGCCCTTCCTTCCCCTCCCCATCCATTTCCGCCTCTCCCAAGATGGCGGCCGCGGAGGAACGTGCGCGGCTGCTGGAGGCCAGCTGGCGGCGGGCGGCGAGTTTTAGCTTTTCAGGTGCCATAGTGTTGCACCCTGCTTGTGGTTAACGCTTAGCTGGAATGAAATATTCAACGCAGCAACAGAGAAATTAAAACAATAATTTATTTGTCAGACAAATAAATAAGAGGCACAGTGGTATATGATTACCAAGCTCTGGCCTGGCCTCCTGCCATTATGGCCAGCACTTATATTCCCTTAATCCAGCCCCCTTTGTTCCTCCTGTGGCTGCCTCTGTCCCATCAGCCTGGTTGAAATTCCTATTGGCTGATTAGTATGACCAATCACAAAAATACACTCATTTCCTATTGCCTTTTATGGGAGACAAAGAGCTATATTTCCTTCCATTTATAATTGACAAACAAGTATTAATATATCTTACATGGAATCTTAATTACCAGCTCACCTCTTGCCCTATTGCCTTCTAAAACAAATGGTTAATCTTAAATTTTTATCTTAAAAATATGTCAAGGATCTTGAGTTTCACATCAATATTGAAAGATCTCCTTCATTTGAAGGTTTCTAAACAAATATATCAGAATTGCTCGGATGGCGTCTTCTTGTCTGGCAGGGGGCTGAACTCAATGGCCCCTGTGGTCTATTCCAACTCTAGGACTCTATGATTCTATGAAATAAGAATCTAACATCTAAATTTGTTACTTTCTAAATCCTTTGCATAGTTACATTTAAGCCAGCATATTTAATACACAACACAGGTAGCTTCTTTAAAAGAATAAAGCCTTTGTAAAGAACTCAGTAAAAAGGAACACAGTAAAAAAAACCGTTTTAAAAGAAGCCTGTTCCCCTGTTCATACTCCCCCCCTTCTCCAGCCCGTTGCTTTCTCTTCCAAGTGCTCTTGACCTTTTGTCCTGTGACTCAAGTTTAAGAGAGGCCCATGGTTTTATTTTACTGTTTACTCATTCCTAATTATATTTATCTCTGCCTTTGTTATCTTCTGTAACATGTAGGGTCAGTGTCATTACTCAGTTTGTAATTCCAGCTTTTATGACTTTGAGAATTATTTTCTGCTATCAATCACAAGGGGCCCCTTGTCTTAGGAGAATGGCCCAGGTTTTCTCTATAAACAGCTGGCCTTCTTGCCTGGCATGAAACATTTGAAAATCTAAGCCCATTTAATTTAGGAACCTGATCAAATATAAGCCAATATATGCCTTGATTAAAAATGCAGTCTATATTCAGATGCCACATTCCCCCCTTTCAAGCTCAAGGACCTGGATACCAAGCGTCCTTGATAGCTTGATCTACATCATATTCCTGAGGTAAGGCTCTATATAGTGCCATGATATGAGGTAAAGTTTCATTTGAAATCATCTTGCTAATTGTACTCCTAAAACATGAGATGATACATGGCACCATACATAAAACCATTATCTGAAATGTTAAAGCAACAGGCATTCCCTGTCAAGTTCAAGACTCCACACAGGCCTCCCTGCCTGGCAAGTACATAATCCATTCCCATTTTCAGCTGCAAAATGGGGCTCTACTTTCATCCAACTGTTGTGCAATAAGTCTCAAACTCTGGGCCGTTACATTGGTTACAAGTTCCACTACTGCTTGTAATCGAATTATTCTGTTTAGATTATAAATAGGATCCCGTGCCCCTTGTATGAGCTCTCCAGGATTCCAGGAGGCAGG